CCTTGGCATCAGGTCAAAAGATAAATATATATCCATATCATCAAGGCTTCTGGATTCCTGAAATCCTTACAATAAATTGCAAACATGTTTAGTGGCTCCAGATTCTATCCATCAGGAATCAATAGATACAACCACATAACATGGCTCAATGATTAAATATATATTTTCCTATGCCACGTCATTGCTTAGACAGTTTGTCCTTTAGTGTCTTAGTTAACGGCAAAAGAAACAGTTTCATTCGCCCTCAACATACACTGCCTTATTCCCTTTAACCTTTTAGATACCTATGTTTTGTGCTAGCCTAGTCCTATTATCATCCTTCTTCTTTGCTTTGCCCGTCCACTTGGGCCTAGAAGAAGATGGTATAGACTAGGTTAGATTGATAGGAATGCCCATACTCTTGATTATCCCTTCATATGTTACCAATTCTATAAGAATATCAGCGAGTGTGAACTCAAACTGATTCCTTATTTAGTTCACTATAACAGAATCGAACGAGTTTGGTAACAAGACAATAATCATTCAACTTGAAACTTACCACCCAAGTCAGCCCTATTGATCTCCAGCTAATTTTAAATAATAAACAATCATTTTCCAAAATTTGATTTCAAACTGGAGTTCATGAGGCTATCTTGATGGTATTTAAATTTGACACAGTACTTAGGCATATGCTCTATCTAATCTCACCAAAATATCTCATTGACATTTAATATGATACTTGAAGAAAATAAAATAATACAAATGTTAGCTTTGGAGTATATTCGAGCTAAACTCTAGAATATTGCACCAAGTCATATCATTTGCCTTATCTAATTTATTAAAAGCATTAATGTCAAATTTGGTATCTCAAAGTAAAAGAGATAGGTATAGGAGTAATAAACACATTTTGTACCCTTACGTTGTGAATAAAATATCTAAGTTCATTTTCCAGTCATTATAAATAAGGTCCAATATCATAGAATATGTAAGCAAGCAGATAAAATGGATTAAACATAATTCATCTGAATATAAATGCATTCATACAACATGCAAGGTGAATTATTAATTCTGTCATGCATATTTAAAATTAAAATGAGTTTGTTAACCACATAATATAATAAATCTCAATCGAACAAGAGATCATTATCATTATTGGTGAACAATCCCTTTTAATTAATGCGGGTCCCTCAACTCTGTAGCATAATAAATCAACCAATCAATATGTCAATAACTTATCCTGTTGGAGGAGTTCATTATTACTATTGTTGAGATTCATTTACTATTAGGTGAGCACTTCCATTAAAATAGTATGTGGGTCCCTTAACCACTGCATGAAAAATCGAATAACCAATACGCCAATAACTTATTCGGTTAGCGAAGTTTATTATTCCTATTGGCGGGCAAATCCCATCATTTCCATATCTCTTAAGACAATGCCTTGTCTATCTATATGAAATGATTCCCGATTATGTTTAGCCTTTCTAAAATCACCTAGTATAGACCACTCCGTTGGGGAGTTAACACTATTGATTTTAGATTGAGTGTATAACGTTATTAATGCTCTAATGAAAAATAAAACATTAAATATCTTGTCATTATAATCTAGACTCTTTAAATCATGCGTGGGGCCTTATTTTTAAAGATCTAATTACAATGAACATTTATTATTATTATTTTCATGAGATAACCATTCTTGTAATATTAAGACTCTTCAAATCATGCGTGGGGCCTTATTTTTGAAGATCTAATTACAATGGTGTTAATAACAAAGGCCATGGGGCAATATATAAAAATCCCCGCTCCCACTCAATTTTTAATCATCCATAATTAGGGTTTTCATTTTATTCATTTACATGATATAATGCATGCAAAACGTCTTGATTTTAATCCAATTAAATTTAGAAAATATTTGGACTTTAAACGATTCACTAATATTTAATTTGAAGCACACTTTAAAAATAATTTACAAAAAATAATTTTGCGTTTCCCAATAAGTGCCCTCAAATTAATTAGTAATCAGATCCAATTAATTTTCATAACTTAATTAATATAAATCAAGCCATTTAAATAAATATCATGGATCCAATGCATGAATAATAATTAATTAACAATTATATATTCCATACATTTCATACATCGCATAAATAAACAAATAACAGATAAAGCAAATAAAATGGCCAATGGAATCAGCTTTTAACATTTAACCACTCTAAGTATTGCGCGAGGATCATCCATCGGCTTGCAAACACCCACATAAGGCTGGTACGCACCGGGAGAAGCAAAACACCGCTTGGAACGCGCCTGGATGGCCCCACACACGCTTACACGCGCCTGGGGCATGCTGCAGGTGAAGGCACGCGCCCCCACGCGCTGGCACGCGCGTGGGGCGCGTGGGACGCGCCCCCACGCGCCTGCACGCGCGTGGAGGCCATACCACCTTGGCTGGCGCGTGCAATGCACGCGCCAGCATATGTCTCCTCCTGGCGCGTGTTCCTCACGCGCCAGGCTCACCCCACCTGCACCACATCTGATCCCAGCCTTCTCCGACGCCTCTTCTCGCCGCCGGCGATGCTCCGGCCACCGGAAAAACGCCGAAAAATTTCAGAAAATCAGAAAAACTCCCAGAAAATTAAATTAAGCCTCAAAAAATTTCAGAAAAATTCCAAAAAATTCGGAAAAATTCCAAAAAATTACTGAAGCATAATTTAACCCTTTTGGACCTTCTTGAAGCTTCATAGCATCCTTTGACGAAGATTACATGGCTTTAAAAATATTTACAATTTGAAATACAATGGAAAAAATTAAATTATATCATTGAACTTTCAAACGGCTAAATCAAAGCCTTAATTACATTCATCCAAAAATAAAATTACATTCAATATTCCTATAAGCTTCATCCATGGCCTAAAACACATATCATCATCCATTCACAATTATACATACATCATCATGTATCAATATATATCAATATATTAATTCATACATCAACATACATCAATAAATAAATATATGCATATCAAAATTGGATCCATGAATGATGAACTTTCATAAAATCATGATCTCTAGTAATGAATCAAACCATGCTCTGATACCACTGTTGGGAAACGTGCTAGTTTTAAAAACTTTTCGAGGGATTTTAATTCATAGATCTTGATTCATTACATAGAGACAAGTTTTATGCAAAAATAAAACATGATGTACCATTCAATTAAAAGATTGAATACTTACATCAAGGTTTGAGTAAACCTTAGATCTCTCCTCTAAAGTGAATGTTCTTACTTATTGTAGATCCCTTTTGCTAGACACCTTTTCCATAGATCTCTATCTCCATCTTCTTGGTAATGGTCTTGCCTTTAGGAATCACTCATAAGCCTCCATGAATGACCTTGGAAAACTAGGCTTGTGGGAGCCTCCATTAGATGAGAACATAAACCCTAATTTCCTAGAGAGAAAAAATATTTATTCCTTTTTTCCTTCTACTAAAAATCACCCCTAAAATATACATAGACCATGTATATTTATAGGCAACATAAAGGTAAAGAAAAGGAAACAACTAATCCTTCTCAATCTCTAATTCACATGTCTCAAATCTAATATGATTCTAATATCAAGTTGGGCTATGAGTGAGAATCCATTGGGCCTATTATTTTATTGGCTACAATGAATTAATAATTGGTCCGGTCCATGGACCCAATTCAATTAATTCATAAATTAATTTCTACTCCACTAAAAGAAATTAGTTGAACTCCAATTAAATAATAAATAACCTCTAAGTCAATATTGCACTTTGACCCCTCTATGCATAATTAGTTATCGGATAAATAAAGCCATCAATCCAACTACTTAATTAATATATCTATTTTGGTACCTCTGATTATTTCTGGCTCGATCACAATAAAACATTTGTTTGACAAAAATAATAATTTAATAAATAAATATATAATAAATCATTTTGTCTAAAATCATACGAAGGCCTTCGAATTTACTTTGTGATCAACCATAATCAATACAAAATAAATACAAGTAGCAATGATGCAAATATTGAAAATATAACCCTCTAACTATTAATTACATAACTACCCGAAGTGTCGGTCTAAGGATCCCGAAGAATCCGCCGAACAAATCAAAGTAATTATTAATTAATAAAAGAGTCTATACTTTTCTCATGCTTAAGAGTCAAATGCCATGACGGTGATAGGGAGTAATTGCATACGACGGCTCTCGCAATCTATCTCAACCTAACGCGGATCCAGTTCAAGTCTTAATTAATTATGAGTCCATCCATAATTACCGACTATGAACAATTTATAATTACTATTTATATATCATGCATTGATTGCCATCACATACATATATATAAATATTTCTTGTAATTATATGGACACTATCAATTTCATAGTGAATCGAAATATAATACATTGAATTCACCAATTGTATAAAACATAAATATTTCAGAAACGTCAGGAACATATGTCAATTAATCCAAACAGGAATTTGCTATGCCAGGGCATATAAATCCCAACAGGGTGAGCAGTGGTGGAGGTGCCGATTGTGGGTGGTCATTGAGGGCGACCTAATAGGGCAGGTGATGTTGATGATTCCGGTGATTATGAGAGGTGAGTTGCTGCGGTGAAGGGGTGAAGATGGTTGTTTTTGTATGGTGGGTGAGCAGTGGTGGAGGTGCCGATTGTGGGTGGTGGTAGGAGGTTAGAGAGAGTTGGGAGGACTGGCGGCGGCGGCGGCGACAACGGCAGCAGGAGGTTAGAGAGAGATGGGAGGACTGCTTGTGGCGGCCATGGTGGTCAAGGTGACAGTGATGGATGTGGGTGGTAGTTGGGGTGTGGGGTATAATGGTTATTTAAGTAACATAATATTTTGAAATAAATAGAAATAAAAATTTAGGAGCAAAGTTGTCTGTTGTTTAATTAACTGAGTATTTAGTATAAAAATAAAAATAAATTTAAGTGATAGTTATTTTTAAAAGGTATTTGAATGTAAAATTTAGCTTAAACATGAAGAAGTGCAAGTGAAATTCACCTGACGGTTGCCCTTTTGCAATAGAGAGAAACAAGCCCTCCTTTAAGCTCCAACTCCACAACAGTAGCACTCTTCTCCACCAGTTCCGATCTGAAGAACGAAGGTATAGAAACCCTAACCCTTAAATCATCTTTATCTAGTCACTCGCATCTAACATTTACTGTTTCAATCATCGTACTGAGCAGTTAATTTCTCACCTTTACCATTCTTCGACCGTTGCTGAATTCACACTTTTTTTCAACACATCCTCACCGTTTTAAGAGAAAATTAAACTAAAATAAAAAAAAAATTGCTATAGATCGAGACCGAATTACATTTTTCTGATTTTGATGCAATCTATATGGTTTTTATGTGTCACCATCCAAACTATAGATGGATAGAAAATAAGAAAAAAATAAGAAACACATTTAATTTTATGCATTCACATTTGGATGACGAAAATGGTTCTGTTATATACTACTAATTACTGCAGCTGGGAATTGCTTCACTTCATTGTGATCTTGTGCGACTTGTGTTGACAAAACAGTCTTAATATGGATTAATCCTAAAATATATTTCTTATCATTTTGTTTATTTGTTTTTATTTTTATTATTAGATGTGATTCCTATTTTCGCATTCTTAATCATAATCTTTATTATTAGATGCGATTCCTATTTTCCCATAATCACGTTGTTACGATTGAGCCTAAGAAAGCTATTTTCTCATGCACTCTTGCTCACTTCCCTCTAAAAATAGTAACATACTTTTAAATAGCTTTTGTGTTTGGTAGACAATGATATGATATTGTTCTTCTTGTATCAGTGCTTGCAATTTTTATTCAAAATTTTGATTTTTTTTTTTTTTTTTTTTGTTGTTGTTGTTGTTGTTGTTGTTAGTGTGTTAGTCTTAAGAGCACTTATAGGCATGCATTTATTGGTTCATCACCCACCATGGACAAGGCTCATCCAGGTGATTGTCCAAGCAAAGTCATTTGATTATCCCAAGATTTTTTCATGTAGGTACATTAAGTGAGATAATTAGTTTTTAGGTGATCTAGGTAGTTCATGTAAGCTGTTTTTACGCACAATGGTTAAGGAGGTCTAATATTAGATCTCTAACATTTATTTATTTATTTTAACTTTTTTTTTTTTTTTTTTTTCGAACTATAGAATGCCACTACAGATATAAGACTATATGTTGGGGGGTTTTCATTGTTATTGAAATGTTGGAATTTGATTAAAATCAATATCTGCAAACAGCACATTGTAGTCAACGGCTCCACCAACTTTAGCACCCATTTAAGAAAACTTAAGTTTGACAGTAACTTAAGCTTGGAACTGTCCCTAAAAAGTTTTGAAATGGAAGGAAATAAATTGTTGCAAGAAGAAAAAAAGTCAAAGTAATTAAAGAGTATCAAGTTAGAATTTATATTTTGGCCTTCATATTTATGACTCAAGCCATTTTTGTTAGTCTTAGAGACAAAACTTTAGGTAGTTGCTCTGGACCATGATTATGCTTGGAGATAGGCTATAATTTGAGGAGTGTATACCTCACATCTTTTGTATGCTATAGTTATTTTGGTCCTTGTTTAGGCTTGGAGGTGGATCTTGCTTTGTGTTGGAAAGTTGGTGCCTTTTGTTGAACAAGTAAGGTTTAAATTGCAGAAATACAAGGTGCTAGAAGTCTCGGAGTCAACATGCCATCACAGCTCTGTATGACAGATGTAACTTTTATTTTATGTCTAATATTTTCCTACCAAGTTTTCAGAATGGCTTAACTTGTGCTAGCAAGGAAGCCGCTATGCTATTTTTATAATTTAAAAGTCTATTCAAGTAAAATCTGAAGGCATCTCTATGGACTTCTTTGTATGACAGATCATGCTTCTTCATGTTTATCTGGCATACAAACACCACATTAGACGGCATCTAGATGGACTTCTTCCATCATAATAACTCTCCCTATTTCATTTCTTCATGTCCTTTTGATGCTCACTTGCCTGCATATTTTTCTTTGACTTGTGGGCAGTTTGGACAAAAGATTGTTGACGAAGAAGTTGGACATGGGTCGTGGAGTCAGCAGTGGTGGGGGACAGAGTTCGCTAGGTTACTTGTTTGGGAGTGGAGAGGCTGCAAAACCGGCCCCAAGTAATGCCCAAGCTGCTCCAAACGAAGAGCAGCCTACTGCCATTTCTCAACCAGTTGACATTAACAAACAGATTCCTGCAGGCATACATAGTAACCCCGCAAACAACTACTTCCGGGCAGATGGCCAGAACAACGGCAGTTTCATCACGGTATGTTCCAAATAGTGATTATTATTTTTTTTAGCAACATAAAACAAAAGTTTCTATTTCTAATGCCAATCAAGTAAGGTTTTAGTCATTCCTGTGTATAGTGTTTCAATTAGGTTCACTAATCCTTTTACATGTCATGTATGTGAATCAGAAATATTAGGCTTGCAGCATCAGATATGTGCTTATTTCTCCCATATCTTTTGTGTAATTCCATTTCTTCTTTGGGAAGAACTAGAAAAAGTATGGCTGGGTAACCAATATGAACCTATCATTTCTTTCTTTCTTTTTATTTATTTTATTGAACCATTATGCATGAAGTCATTCCAGAGTGGTGAACTAAATTCATACACTTGGAATATGGAAGGGCTAAGAAAGGGATTTCATTTGTTAAAAAGCTTCAAACTCTGCTAGGCCTGAAATGGAATTTTCTGTAGAAACTGGACTTGTTTGGTATGTCTAGTTTATTGGTGGTAAATCAATCATTGTACACATTTTCAAAGAAGCATTTGGTTGTAAAATAACCAAAGCTTTTTAACATTTCCCCCACACTTAGGCTACTTAGCCACGTTTTATTTCTTTGATTTAACTTTCTCTTACAAGTCTCTGACAATTTATTGAGCCAATTGGTTGAGAATCGTGTATTTTGTGCCACCTTTACTTTAATTTTTGGGGACTGGACTGATTAACATATGGTGTTATGCATGTGGAAACGCCCAAGAAGGGCTTCTACAGGCCACTGTTTTCCAAGTATCTGACAGAGGTGTCTGCTAGGAAGTATGGACACGCCAAAATGGGCGAAGAATCCGTGTTCGACACGCGTTGGACACACCAAAAAACCTGTTTGGAATTTTTTTTTTTTATTTTTTTTATTTTTTATTTTCCGGCACGGCTCGGACATGACATGGACACTCGGCAAACATGCATCCGACACGCGTGTCTTATTTTCGGGGGTCTAAAAGATAATTTTTTAAAGAAAATTGGGTTAAAGTATAAGTATGTGAAGTTATTTAACAACTTTTACTCACTTATGTGGTCAGTACATAATAATTTTAAACTTGTAAGGTTAATATGCAATTTTAGACAAAACAAATAGATATTTAAGGACAATCATTACACTATTACAGTAGATGAGTTATGATTTGTGTATTTTTTTCATTATGAGGTTGATGAAAAATAGTAACACTCAGTAATTTTTAAAGTACTACATCATATATATATATATATATATATTATATACTATTCACCGTGTCCCTACCGTGTCCGTGTCCTAATTTTTTTGGATTTGCCGTGTCCGTGTCGTGTCGTATCCGTGTCCGTGCTTCTTAGGGTGTCTGTTAGTTTTCTTAGAAGTGTTCGGCACATTAACGTTACGACTTATGACCATCTTGGCATAGAGAGCATTCCAAAGGTTGTTAAAAAATATGGTACACATCAAAACAAGTGATAAAAATTATTTGCTGTCTCAGGTTCAAGATTGAGAGCAGCCACTTTGTAGAATTTGATGTCAAATGTTAGAACACACTGGGTAGGCGAGACATACACTAGATAATGCACATGGGCTTCAAAGAAAGAACAACTAAATTGAAGATTTATCTGGATGAAATTGACAATGGAAGGACAAGTTAGAAGTTCAAAAATGAAATTATAATTCTAGTGTAATTGCAATTCTGCCCATATAGAAATTTGAATCAAAATTGATGGTTTTAATTTGAATATCCTATAGCAAGCAGAAGCTTATCCGAGTTTGGTGCATTTGAGGAATGTTATTTCATATAGGGGTGTGGCAGTAACTTCACCCCTAACTACACCTGTTGTTCTAAGTGTTTTGGGGATTTAAAAACACTCTCTTCCCACATGTGGGCTGTATCTTCTAACTGCTTTCCCAGTGGCTTCAGCCTCTAGTTCCGAGGTTGCGGATTTTATTTCTGTTATCGGATAAGTCAAAATTAATGGAAGCATTGATGAAGTCCATTTACATTCTCAGTGTAGTGCGATTTCAATATCAAATTCATGCATATGGCTGAAGAGGAACAGATTGAGACGGGCGGAGCCAGGAATTTGGTTCAGGGGGGGGGGGGGCATGTTAGTATTGATAAAATAATTTTTTTTTCAAGTAGACCGAAAATATGATAGTGTAATAACAGTGTATTAGAATACGTGAATAAAAAATGAATAAGAAGAGAAAAAAGAAAAAAGAAAGTTATTGCACATAAATTATGCATTAGTGCAAGGAAAAGAAATTTTTAAGAAGAAAAAGAATTTTTTAAGAAGAAAATGAAATAAAAGAAAAAAAATATGATAGAATTTTCAAGGAAATGATAGGTTTTAATTGTAGAAAGAGAATGCAAAAGTTTTGAAGATGATAAAAAGAAATTTGAAGAATAAGAAGGAAAATGAATAAAGAATTAAAGATATTTTTAGAAATAGATAATTTTATGGAGATAATTAATAAATTTTATGAGGGTGTTTTATAAATATTTAAAAATTATACGCATAAAATAAAATAAAATTTAGTGGATTCAAGGGTAGAAGAGCCATTTTATTAATTTTAGGGGGGGCATTGTGCCAATTTTTACAAATGTATGTATATATATATATATATATATATATATATATATATACTAGTGGGGCAGCATGGGCAGGGGGGGCAGCTGTCCCCCCTGGGCGCATGCTACCTCCGCCCCTGGGTTGAGACATACATTTATGAGTATTTGTACACAATAAAGAGGAATAGTATATTCAGCCCGTCTTTTGCATTAGTGTCTGCCTCTTAATTAGAATTGTTTGAAGCCATAGAGCAAGCAGATAGAACAAGAGACAATGGGATCGAGGATTTGAGTATGTTTTATTGTTCAACCTAGCTAGCTTCTATATGAAATTGGAGGATAGATTAGCAGCTTGTACGTATATGCTGGATGGAAAAGGAGTGTGTGTTATGGTTAATGCACATATATTAGATGGTGTGTAATTAGTTTTATATATATATATACACACACACACAAGACAAACAATGGGAGTACATTGTGCACATATATACAAGCTGCTAATCTATCCTTTATATGTGCATTAACCATAATACACACTACTTTTCCATCCAGCATAAATTTACAATCTGCTAATCTATCCTCCAATTTCATATAGAAGCTAGCTAGGTTGAACAAAAAATGTACTCATATCCTCGATCCCGTTGTCTCTTGTTCTATTTGCTTGCTCTATGGCTTCAAACAATCCTCATTACTAGGCAGGCTCTAATGCAAAAGACGGGGTGAATATACTCTTTTTCTTTATTATCTACAAATACTCATATATGTATGTCTCACTTCTTTGTTTTTGTCAATGATGAGGGGTAAAAATTACAATGATCACATTCATTACAATATATATATTTTTGTAATGATTGAATTAGTTCTCTCATGCATGCATTCTCCATGATATTCAACATTAATTAAGATGACAGTTTCATGCATATATGAAAATAGATACAAAATACCATGTAGCTGATATCAGCATGGCGGATAAGAAATTACCAGCAGCAGAGTTGATGCGAAGATTGTGTTTTGATTCAAGTTCAGAAATTATTTTTGTCTGGTGCATCTTATGATCAAAATCTGTGTCCGGTTTTTTGCATGTTCTTCTAGTGTTGTTCTTCACCAAGACTCAATGATAAATGTTTAAACATGATTGATGCTTGTTTGGTTGCAGGATCGCCCCTCAACTAAGGTCCATGCTGTCCCTGGTGGTGGGTCTTCTCTGGGCTACCTCTTTGGTGGTGGTGGGAACTGAATATGGCTTCATATTTTCGTAATGATCGAATTGTTTATCAATTCCGTGTTACTTTTTTGGAAGAGGTATGCTTTTATGAACAATTAAAACTTGCTTAATCATGTGATGTAGCATTAAGTTGAAGTGGTCATAGGTGGGATTATTCAGCTGATATTCAATGTTAGATGGCATAAACATTAAACATAAACCTCAGTGACATAAAAGCAGTTACAGCTAAAAGGAGTTGCATTTCTAATGAATGTCTTTTTCTATCAATTGTTCATTTTTTTGTCCTGGAGATTGTTGCCTATTATTATCTTTCTATTTTTCCCTTTCTATTCCATGGGCATGGTTGTTTGCTGTTACTATTTTCAGTATATATATATTTTTTTTGTTTAAAGAGTGCCGTCAGCTTAAAATATCAGTACAGTTCTGGATCAGTGTGATTGTTTGGGAATTGTGGTTGGCTGGGGATTCTCTGATAGGTTGATGCTGAGGAAAAAATATATCTATATCTAAAGAGTGGTAAATGAAACAGGATATACTTATTTTGTGTTTGGTTTAAAAATGACAAAAGATAGAAAAGGAATGGAAGGGATTTGTTGATTGTTGATGCTTAAAATAGTAATTTTGATACATTTCCATAATTGGGAGGATTTAGAAGGAAATGATTATCCATTTTGTCCTTATAGAGAGGGTGATGAAAGTTGTAAAAGTTGGTGTGGGATTGATGTGAGGGGGCAGGGATGGCTATATTTTAGGGATTTGGTGAGCGAGAAAGGGCGTGATGGGTTGCCGATTTGGTGTGAGAGAAAGATAGAGAAGATGGTGCTATGGAATGTGTGACTTCATACCTTGCAACTCTACAGGCCAATCCAAAGAAGTTTTGAACTCTATTCCTTCAAACTTCTTCCGTAGTTCCAATTCAAGGCCATTAAGAGTTAACTTCACATTCTCAGTTTTTGGAATAGAGACATCAGACATGGCATTTGTGCCATGCTCTTTTGAATCTGGAAATGAAGGTTTCAACAGATTCCCTAGGAAGTTGACTCAACCTGGATAAATCGGCAATTGATACTTGTGATTTTGACCGATAAAATTGAATGTGAAACTTCACTTCCAACTATTGCCAAGAATGGACTGAGATGGCTTGAAGATTTATATACCAAGTAAATAATCTCATTTTTAACAAATTTGGAAATAATCTCATTTTTAACCAAGGGTTTGCACTAGCCTCCCCATATTGTTCTGTAAATTGGCTAATATGTTCGACCGTGGACTGATTTCCTTTTCCAGTACTTAGGTCGGCCAACTCTCCTTGTGCTTAGGCAAAATTCTGCATGTTGGCCGTGATCAAGAATAACTAGTTGGGCTGATCCCTTGTCCCCTAGACACCACATGGTGTGGGTTTGGGATAGAGTATTTGGGTTCCTTCATCTTATATAATTGCCCCCAAAATTAGGAGATTCTTTTGGAGGAAGAAACTGTGGAGCAGTTGGTGTCTCAGTTGTTGGAGAGCTGGCTGTGGCGTATTCTGTGAAATTGTGGTATGGGTGGTGGAATAAACAACTGATTTACTGTAGTCTTATCTGGAAATATATTAACTAGAGGAGGGTTGTCATACCAAAGATGGGGTTGAGTAGGTGAAATCTCTTTGGGTGAAGTGTTATGTAGTTGAGACTGCACCTGTGGAAATGTGGACCCAAAAGAGTGTGTAGATGTAAGAAAATTCTCCTTCTATTGATGGAAAGTTTTTCTCTTACACAAAACACTCTGTCTCCTTCCTTTTTCTTCCTTCTTATTTGTAGTACATTACGTGTTACCCTAAATTCCTTTCCTGGCTTTCAAAATGGGGGTTGATGGGCTTCTTTCTTTTGTGGGCTGGCCCGTTTGGGGATCCGTTCCTATTTTTTTTTTTTTTTTCGGTATTCACTGGGTCTGGTCTTTTCTTTAGATTGGGCCTGATGGTTGCTGGATGGTTTTAATGAATGAATAGGTTGAGCCTGACCTGGCCCATAGGTATTGGAAGGTGAGAAAGTGTCACTAGGCTACAATTTTTTGTCCTTCTAATTTACTTTTCATGACTTTACTTTTTGAAAATTTATACTTTGGGACTTATAGAAATAGCTAGGTTAGTTTAATCAATTCTTAAATTAAAATAGCTCAAGTGTGACAACATTGTAGTATTTTGTAATGATAAGATGGGATAAGATGTTTGAACCACAATTTTCACAATTTAATCTTGGGTCAAAACAATAGTTAATCACTTAGTACCAACGTCCAAACTTATTTATGTATATTGAGGACAATGTTGAACAAACATGCTGACAATATATTGATATGAAGTTCATCTATATACTGAATATGAAAAAAAACACACACTAAAATGCACAAAAGACGACAAAATATGTTGAGCAAACATTTCGATACTATAAGTAACTGTCCTTCCACACTCTGTAATTGAGCTGGATGGTTCTAGGGAGGTGTTGTTAGGGTTGACAACAGCCGAGAGACATTGTGCATGGTCGGCCTAGATTGTGGATTGACATTTAAACATGCAATGGCCATGTTTATAATTGACATTAACACTTCTTGACGTTCGCTTGAGGGAAGTGAAAGGCGTTCGTCCAACACATCTTTCAACATTATTTTCTGATCCAGAGATGAAGATGATAGCGAGGTGATGAAATTGCCTGGATGCTTTCCTTTCATCACTTCCAGTGTCAATACCCCAAAGCTATACACATCGCACTTCTCAGTTACCTTCATTGTGAAAGCAAGCTCTGCAAAGAAAAGTAAAATATGATCATGTACAACTGATCTACAGTACTATATATATCACATTAGTTAGAATAACACGAAGCTACATTTACCTGGTGCAACATATCCATAAGTGCCTGCAAGCGTGCTCCAATTTGAGGAGTCTAGCTTCAAAAGCTTAGCAGTGCCAAAATCTGAAACATGTGCCTCATACTCGATGTCCAACAAAATATTGTTGCTTGATAGGTCCCTATGAACAATTGGTGGTGAGCAATCATGGTGCATGTAAGACACAGCATGAGCCACCCCCTTAATGATATTCACCCTTTTGGGCCAGTCCAACTTATCAGCCTCTGCATCTCTACTCAATATCGAGGTCAAGCTACCCTTTTCAAAGTACTCATAAACCAAAAATGAGTGTTGAGCATGTGAACAAAAACCATAAAGCTTCACAATGTTCGTATGTCGTACTTCTGTTAATGCCCTTACCTCGTTCAAAAACCCTTGACGATCTGCTGTCTCAGATAATGGGTGAAGTTTCTTCACAGCCACTATATTGTCTTGTCGTAATTTTGCTTTGTAGACAGTTCCACATCCTCCTTTCCCAATGCCATACGAGGCATCAAAATCGTTGGTGGCTTTTAAAATTTCATCACACATTGCTCGACCATCAAAATTAGAAATTGAAAACAGATTGTTTTCATCCTGCAAGTCGCCCTGTTCGATTGGTGCTCTACTTTTTCTTCTTTCAAACATGAGTAGGAGTCCAATGAATGCACCGAGAAGTAAAAGTGCTCCGACAAGATCTAGTATGAGTTTGTGGCTTTCTTTCACAATGTGTTGGGCATTTTTGCAGGGTTTCAATCCTGTAACATTGCCACACAAACCGTCATTCCCTTGTAATGCCTCTATGGTAGCATTTCTAAAGGCATTGTTGCCGGGAATGGGACCTCGAAACCCATTGTAGGATATGTCAACATACATTAACCCATGCATTTCTTCAAAAGCCTCTGGAAGGAAACCAGAGAGGTTATTGTGGGAGAGATTTAGCACCTCCAAACTCTGCAAATTTTCAATTTGAGATGATATTTCTCCCATGAGAAAATTATGGCTCAAATCTAGCTCGGACAGTTGAGCTAACTTGTACATCTCAAGTGGAATTTTTTGGCTAAAACGGTTGTAGCTCAAGTTCAAGTAATGCACCTGCAAACAATTTCCTAGACTTCCTGGTATTGACCCACTCAATCTGTTTATGGACAGGTCAAGATACAACAGGTGAGCTAGTGATCCGAGTTCTCTAGGTATACCACCAGAAAGTTGATTATCTTTCAAATCAAGGATTATCAAATCCAACTTCCCTAGTTCCTTTGGAATATCCCCAACTAATTGATTTGAAGAAAGATCAATTAGATGAAGTTGAGATAAATTTCCGAACTCTGGTGGTATTCGTCCAGTGATATTGTTCCTTGCCATCCTTAGGTAAGTTAATTGTGGGTACTGACCCCAACTAAAAGAGATTTCACCGAAAAAACTGTTGTTACTAAAATCTAGGAAATGAAGATTTGGATAGACACCAAAAACTTTTGACACATCTCCAGTGAGCTTGTTTCCATCAAGGCGCATTCTGAATAAGCTGGAACAGTTTCTCAAGCTTTTGGGGATTGGACCGGTAAGCTGGTTATTGTTTACCGTGAAATTTTCCAGTTTTCCGCTCTGGCAAATATTTAAAGGCAAATAGCCAGAAAAGTGATTCTCATCCATTTCTAGTACGACCAACTTCTCTAGATTCCCAATTTCTTGTGGAATGGGACCGGAGAGTTGGTTGTCACGGAGGAACAAAAACACCAAGTTGCTCAAATTTCCAAATGAAGTAGGAATCGAACCATTGAATCGATTCACACTCAGTTCTAAGTCTTTGAGAGACTTTAACTTCCCCAATTCTTTAGGAATGGGGCCAGAGAGTTTATTTTCAAAGAGAAATAGTTCTGTCAGGGAGCTTAAATCACCTAAGGATGCTGGGACTGAGCCGGAAAGATTGTTTGTATAAAGGATCAGACTCTCAAGCGATTTCATGTTTCCTATCTCTGGGGGAATCGGATGAGAGAGCTGATTTTGGAATAGGTACAACGAAGTTAGCTTCTTCAAGTTCTCGAAAGTGGAAGGAATGGGACCTGTGAGAAGGTTGGTATCCATGTCAAGCTCGACAAGATTGAAGAGATTTCCTATTTCTGAAGGAATGGAACCGGAGAGCTTGTTTTCATAGAGATACAAATTAGCCAAGTTGCTCAAACTGCCCAAAGAAGCAGGAATGGGACCCTCAAGATTGTTTGTGTACAAAGCAAGCTCATAAAGGGACTTGAGATTGCCTATTTCTTTAGGAATTGAGCCATTTAACTGATTATGGAACAGGTGGAGGACTTGAAGATTTTTCAGATTTCCGATTTGTGGTGGGATTATTCCGGAAAACTGATTGATGGCCAAATCAAAATAGATGAGTTTTGAGAGTTTACCAACTTGAGGTGGGATGGTACCAGAAAGAACATTCATGCTGAGATCAATATATGCAAGATTAGGGAGGGACGAAAATGGAAAATCATAGAGCGTACCTTCAACACTTGAATTTGTGAGGTTCAGTCTATGGACACTTCCATGAATACTGCAAGAAACTCCGGACCAAGTGCATGGGATGGCACTTGTTTTTGGATGGCTTGAAGAAACCGTGGCATTATAATTAGATGGAAAAATCCATGAATTTAGCACAGAATTGTTTTGGTGTTGAAGGCTGGCTTTCCATTTGAGGAGAGCTTTAGCTTCTTGAACAGAAGCAGAAGCTGAATTGGGCGAAGACAACAACACAAGAAACAAGACCAAGGAAACAAATGAGTTGAACTTCTCTAAGGTTGGAGACCCCATGGTTTATGTTTTGATGTGTTGCAATTCTGGTTTAAAGCTCTTATTTATATACATTTTATTGTACAGGTCCCATACTATTTTGGCTATAATTACTACAATACCATTGAATTGAAGTCAAGTTGGTGGTCCATTATCTTTGGGCTCGCTCACTCAGGGGAGAAAAAAAGAGCCAAAAGAAGCAGAGGTATTTGTCTTTGTCCCTTCAAGTGTAAATATGGGCATTGGACTTGGGTATTAACATTTTGCCGTGTAAATATGGGCATTGGTCTTCATTTTTGAGACTTCTCCACTTATTTGTATTGTGTACGAATAACCAATTATAAATATTTGGTTAGTTAATTTGGTGCAAGTATCTCTACTCTACTGTATATTTTGAATATAAATACTTAACATTGACTTGAAGTCAACTTGGTGGTCCATTATTGCTCACTCAGAAGCTAAAAAAGGAGTCTATCCACGCCAAGGTCTTGGTCTTTGTCCCTTATAGATCGAGTAAATGGTGTGGTCTCTTCCTTCTTGCTTTAGAACTAAAAAGAAATTGCGTGTTGAATAACTCTACTTTTTTATGCCATTAAAAAAGCAAACTAGTTCTGAAATATATCTGATTTTTTATTTTAACAATTATGAAAACTTTGTTTCTTAACCATGGGTTTGATCTGATGTAATTTGATGGAAGTGACTTTAGAAAAATAGCATTTTTTTTTATAGTTTTAATTCAGGTTTTGCTGAAGGAAATTAGAAAGGTGCGTGAAGTTGGGATTTGGGTATTATTTTGATTGCTTTATGGTTGTGAATTTGGTGACAAAAGCATTAAATTTTAGGCGTGTAGACTTGGACATTGGTCTTTAACATTGTGGCATATATAGACTTGGGTATTAACATTATGCCGTGTAAATATGGGCATTGGTCTTCATTTTCGGCTAGATATGCATTGGTTTGTCCTGGTGACCCTTACAACTAATTATGTACGCCCGCCACTTTTTACACTTCCATTTTGTTTCCTTTTGTTTTGTTCTGTTCTGTTCTGTTCTTTTCTTTTTTTAATTTAAATATTTATAAGTAGTTCAAAAGTCAGATACTTTATAACATTATATTTTATTCATATAAAATTAGTCGAATGTGTCACACTTTAAGACTTTGTATTACAACTCTTTATTTCTTTATTTAAATTTTATTTTATTTTTTATTTATTTCAGTCTGATATAAAAATTCTTGTAGCATACTGAAGTTAGTGATATAATTAGAGCTTTCCAAAGAACGGAGTATATATTTTGGCTATAACTACGTGCCATTGACTTGAAGTCAACTTAGTGGTCCATTATGTTTTTTAAAAAAATAATGCGTGTAGACTTAGGTATTGGTCTTTAACATTATGCTGTAGACTTAGGTATTGGTCTTTAACATTATGCTGTAGACTTGGGTATTGGAATTCAAACATTATGGTAGTTTCTTGGCTGCTTTTATGGTATTTGTTGACGCTAATGTTAATATCAGGTCGTGTAGACTTGGAGAAAAACTTTAACGCTCCAAGAGTAATGTTTGATATAATATCACTCCATAATTAAACAGACAAATCGTGATATGAGCTGTCGAAATAGTTACATGCTTAGGGTCCGTTTGCAATCACTTCTATTTCGTGTTTTTTGATTTTGTTAGTATATTGTAGCAAAGCAAAAGCACGAAGTGTGTTTAGTACCTTTGTTGCGATTTGAATAATACAGAAGCGCATATGAAAAAAGAAGCCAAAATCGGAATAAAAAAATTGATGCTTTTGGTTGTTTCCACGCTGTTCCGAAAGCATTGTTTATAAAAATAAAAAGTTATTTTTAACTAGCCATTTAATTTTTTAAATTTGCAACATTTTTTTACTAAACACGACTTCATGTTTTTGTTTTCAAAATACTTGCAACAAATATATGTTACCAAACTGGCTACCAAACAGTATTGAACACAGTTTAAAATAGAAATTTTGCTTCTGCTTTGGGTTAAAGCAAAAACACAAACAGAAGCTACTGTCAAATAGGTGGTTATGTATGAGTGATTGATGACATAATATTCCGGATGCAATGAAGAATTTCTCGTAGACTTGGGCATTGGGCTTTAACATAATGCGTGTAGACTCGGGTGTTGGGTCTTTAACATTATGCTGTAGACTTGGGCATTGGAATTCAACATTAGTGTAGACTTGGGCATAGGTCCTTTATTTTATTTTATTTATTTATTTTTTTTTGATAATGCTTACAACCAACCATCAACTTTCCCACATTCCACCATTTTCTACACTTCCAAATTTTATTTTATTTTTATTTTTAAATTTTGTTTTCAATTAAGTTATGGAAATTTCGTAGTATGCAGAAGTTGTGATGAGAGCTTCAATTAAACAAAAATGAGATCAAATAGTGGTTGCAGAATCATTGAAATTGGGAGGATGCGTGGCCGCGTGAACTAAATTCCAATCTCAAATCAAACCCACCTGATAAAAAAAGTAATACGAGTGATAAAAAATGCTCCCTATAAATTTTGTCCAAATCTCATATAGTGTGTCTTAAAATTAATTCAAAATATTATTTTAGAGTGCAAACAAATTCGGTTTTTTCCAAGACACTTCGTGTCAGATTTTATGAAATTTGGATGGTGAAATTGTACCAAAAAGTGGTGGGACAAAACATTTGTGGTGAAGTAAAACCTACGTTTTAAGTCAAAGTCTTTCTATAGTGAAAGCCCCCTTGCAGAAATAAGCAATACGTTGTTCACATACGTTATAAATCTCAAACATAGTACACTACAACTAATTCCTCTTCCTCTGTTGATCGAGTTCTTGTTTTGAACCACATAACTAGAAAAGCAAATTAAAATGATAAGCAAAGCTTCTTCTATCAATTATGAAAAAAAAAAAGCTTCTTCTATCAGATGCTGCTTGTTCATAATTTGGATTCTCATGGTTTCATCTGTATTCTATGGCAACCGTAAGTACTCTCTCTCTCTTTCATATACATACATACATACATATATATATATATATATATATATTCATTCATTTTGTTATACATGAATTTTTGCAGACGGACGTAGTAAAATTGGTGCAGGTAAAAATGGGAAAGCTCACGCCAAATCTGCTCTGCCAATTGGACCACGTGTACCTACCACTCCCAAACCTACCACTCCCAAATCTGTCACTGATGAAGCAAACAATGCGGGTAAGTGCTCTCTCTCTCACTCTCTCATCTTCTCCTCTCTTCTCCTCTATTCTCTCATGTTGATTCATTTTATAATTTTTATTGTATGAGTTTTGCAGCAACAGTATTCGACTGTGGTCATGGGAAGTACGCTTCTTGCATGCCTTCAGGCGATAGAAATTGTAAACCGTATAGGCGTTGCAGAGCCGGACGAAACTGAAACAAGCAAAGCCACTATATAGTACTTCCACCAGGAGTGATATATATATATATATATATATATATATATATATATATATAGATCAGATCTTAAGAAAGTGAGGGACTTATGTGTTGCTTCATCTGTCCAAAACTAAATTGTAATTGTTATATCTTTTTGAAATATATAATTGTTATATCTTTTAAGAAGGGGCCGGAAATGCAATTGTAATTGTTATATCGTTTTGAAATATTTAGAGTAACATTTTCTGTATGGGACATTCTTTTTCATCTTCACTTAAAAAGGATTGTGTGTGTGTGTATATATATATATATATATATTCAAAAGTTCATGCAAACCCACTATATGTTACCTCCACCAGTCTTTGTAAAAATATTTCTGAAAAAAAAAAAAAAAAATACCAATCCTTCATGTCCTACAAGTATTCCAAATGAGTAGCTAGCTCTACTGTATCCAGATGTTGTCTCCAACCAATGAATAAAAATATTCAAATTTTATGATACTTTAAGTCATGTTTTACACGTGTGTCCAGGTCATATCCGTCTGTCGGATACCGCCGCCACAGCGTTAAGAAAACTGTTCATGTTTCCTAGCAATAATGGAGTGAGAAATTAATTTAGGGAGCACAATTAACATGCAGCAGGATGGGTAAAAATAAAAAAGTGAATTAAGAATCCAATATTAATCATATATATATATATATATAAGATCGAGATGTTGCAAAAATTTCAGGGCGCAACTGCCCCAGACACAAGCTGGCTCTTTACTGGCTCTCTACCCGCGGACTCAATGTTTTATATTAGGAAATAGGGATTAACCCGGTCTACTAATCAATTACGAACATTATGAAGTAAATGGTGTTCGTCTCTTTGATTTTAGAAATTTTTGGGGATGGTAATTTTCTCTGTGGGTTTCGTCCCGTTCTTAACGGGGCACATTTGGTAGAATTTTAAATAGGTTTGGGTTGGGATATGATAAAGTAATTGAAAAGTTGAAGGGGAATTGGGACAGGGGCGGATTTATTAATGAACCTGTCTTGACTCGTCCCGATTATATATATATATTTAAAATATATATATATATATATATATATGTATATAAGATATATATTTAATATTTTTAAAATCGTCGTTACTTTATTTGAAGTATTGGTTAATTTATTTATCAGTCTAATTTGACCACATTGAGCAATTTTTTTTTTTTTTTTTACTACACAATTAATAAAAGTGGCATAACCCGTCCTGCCTCGCAATTAAAAGGAATACGCAAAGCGGAGTCGGTATTTTGTCTACCGAAATAAAAAAGAGAATTGTATACCAACTACAAACCCGTTTCCGTTGCCATCCTATATGGTCTCGGGACCGACTATCCGAACAATCATCATTGTTGCACATTTTTGTATCGAGTGTCCAATGGTAATTGTCGAAAGACCAATAGTCTGGGTACCTCCCTTCTTGCTTTAGAATTAAATTGTAAGTTTTGAATGACTTTACTGTTAAGGTGTGTGGACTTGGGGATCAACTATAAAAATAGAAAAAACTAAATAGATTTGTAACTACCATTTTTTAAAATGACAAACTTATTATTAAACATTTACTATTTATAATAAAACTTATTATACTCAATTAAAAATTTTATACTGTAAAGAAATACCCTTTTTCATACAATATATCAATGAAAAATTAATAAACTACTTAAATAAAAATACCTTATTTTTCATGCAATATATTAATGAAAAATTAAGAATGTACTTAAATTGTTATAAAATTTTCTATTTAAGATTTTCATTTTAAAAATTAAAGGTAAATTTATGCAAATTTAATGGAGAATATGTCAACAAATTAGTATGAATTTTTTTCATAATTGATTTCAATAAGAAAAATAGTTAAGTGTAATTCAATAACAAGGGACATCATGGTTATTTATTGAAAAATATCTTAGGCATTGGGGTATTTTACAACAAAATGTGATAGTTCATGAAGTATTATTATGCACAAAATATACTTCAAGGGGATTATTTATAAATTTGAACATAGTTCATGTGGTTTATTGTACTTTACCCTTTGTAATATATATATATATATATATATATATATATATATATATATATATACTTAAACATAGTATATTACAACTAATTTCTCTGTTAAATTCTTCCAATTCCAGCCCTTATTTTGTTCAAGTCTTCTTTATTAAGGCATCGAAGAAGCTGAAGGAATGGATCATTATTACCTTCTAATAATCGACTGATTTTCAGAGGACCGATTTCTTAATTCGATTGCTGTTAAGGATAGTTTGACTATCCAGTACTTTGAGTCGAAAGATTTTGGCACGTCTTTACAAATTTAAACCAAATAGAAGTCAACTTAATCGTCCATTATCTTTCAACTCACTCACTCACCCAAGAAACAAAAAAAGAGCCATGGATGCCGTTATTTGATCATTTGTCCCGTAATGAGTATGCGGTCTTGGTCACTTTGATCTTGCCATAAAATTGAAAAGAGCATTTTGAATAATTAACTTTCTATGACATTAAAACTTGTTATATGGGTAACGGCTATTAAACTACTTCTGAACTTTATGTCATTTGTTATTTTAATACTGGGTAAATTGCAGGGACATCCTCTGAAATTTGTCCTATTGACAGCCATATACAAGTTAGTTCTTTTTTAAACAATGATACCCCTTATTAGCTTTTGCACATAAAAATATTATAAAATATTTAAATTACCCCCATCTTTTTAAATCTTTTTAATAAAAGAATAATAGATAAAGTAAAATACCATTTTGTCCCTAATATTTAGGGAGAAAGTAAATGTGTTATTTAATTCTATGGTGATAATATAATTTTTATATATATGCTTGCCAGCTAAATAATATTATGAAAAAAATATTCAAAGTAATATAATTGAATCTGCAATATATATAAAAAAGATTTTGGCACTAGCTACTATTTAATTCATATATGCAAGCATGCTTGTTATAATATTTATGTTAATATTAGTTAAATAATGCATGAGGAAAATAATACCATTTTAACAAGTTAAAGTATTTTAGATAGTGTGTGTGTGTGTATATATATATATATTCTTGAATAAGTATCTTGTCAATAAATTTTTAAAAATTTAATAAATAAGAGTTGCACAATCAGTAATACTTAAACTGCTATTTTTAAATTCTTTCCAATTAATACATCTTTTGCCATATATTAAGTTATTTCTCCTTTCGAATCATGTCATTGTGTTTTTCATGCTACCAATTTGAACAATAAATCATATTATTTGACGATAAAATGCTAATGAGATTGGAATCCCATAAAATGCTAATGAGGTTGAAAATGACTAACAAATTTTACTATTATAGAGAGAGATGAAGATTAAACTAAATGGGTTTATTCACTTCTTTAAAGATTTTATCCTAATATATATGTGTGTGTGTGTATATATAGATATAGTTGTTAAGAATGGTACGTGTAATCGCTGAATTTATATATATGTATCTTGTATGTATAGTCTATATATGTATGTATAGTTTGGTTGATAAAGAATGAAGCAAAGAGTACAAAAGCTTAGTTTGATCCAATAAAATAACTTGTAAATGTTAAAAAAGATAATTCATGGTTCAAATAGTAAACTAACAAGTAAGAGGAGAATAATATCAATTCAAAGTTGAGAAGACAATTGGAGATATCTTTGTTATCTTTTGCCGGAGGGGTGTCACTATTAAAAAATGAATCAACTTGTATATGTTTGTCAATGGGACAAACTTTAGGGGGTGTGAGTATAATTTACCCTTTAACAATTATTAAACTTCATTTCTGAACCGACCACAGCATAGGACTTGAAAGTAACTTTAGCAAAACAGCATATATATTGTAAATGTTTTTGTCACTGTAAACCCAGGGTTTTACTGAGGCAGTTAGAAAGGTGCATGTACTTGGGGCTCGCGGGTCTTTAACATTATGGCGTGTAGATATGGGCATTGGTCTTTCATTTTTGGCTAATATGCGTTGGTCTTTCATTTTTGGCTTGGTATGCGTTGGTCTTCCATTTTTGGCTAATATGCATTGGTCTTTCATTTTTGGCTAATATGTGTGGTCTTTCATTTTTGGCTTAATATGCAATAGTCTTTCATTGTTTGTTTGGTATGCATTGGACTTTCATTTTTGGCTAAATATGCATTGGGCAGTCCTGTTGATGCTTACAACTAACTAGGAACCCAACCATATTCTGTTATTCCACCCTTTTTTAAAACTTCCCATCTCCTTTTTTTCCATTCAATACTGAAAATTCTCGTAGGATGTTGAAGTCAGTCACATGAATAAGAGAGAATATACAATGTGTCGGGTGCACCGTGCTCCTCGTAAGCTATATGTGTTTATGCGTGTGCATCACGATATGTACCCAGTGCTCCGTGTAATAAGGACGAGATTTCACCTTTAAAGTGGATTTAAATTAAAGCCTTTAAATTAAAGTGGATTTAAAGTGGTTTTAGGACAAAGTCTTTGAACAATGATCACCCACTTGCAGAAATAAGCCATACATTTGTTTATATTCTCAACCTCATTGTTGGGTGGAGAGATTATACCATTTGAATAAATGTCTATTAGATTTTTTTGAATATTTTCTACTTTGAGAGTTTGTGAACCTGGCTTTTCATGACCCGATCACACTATTGAGTAAAATTTCATATTTGTAAATAACATTCTTGTAACATATTTCAGGGGAAAAAAATATTAAAATAAAATAAAATAAAAACTTCTACTGAAAAAATCATTTTTTGAAATATTTAATTTTATTTTTTTTTAAAAAAAGAATTAGGTAACCACTTCTGTTTTGCTTCATCCGTCCCAAATTAATTTTTCGATTCCAGGATTCTAATTTTGTAAGAAGGGAAAATGCAACAATTTCATCTCTCTTTTTTTTTTTTTTTAATTTCGATACTTCACCTCCAGAATAAAAATATTTACATTGTAAGTTCCAAGACTAGTGTAGAAAAGTTATATTTTTTCATATATATGTCTCTTCCAAACAGAGGGGGCTCAATATAATTTGAGGTAAAAAATATATAAGTCTACTCTAATATATTAATATCAAATAATAATTAATAATGTTTATCTAAAAATCATTCTTCTTGCTTTTTAATTGAAAAATGAATAAAATGCTATAATAAAATATGTTAAGAGAATAATAGTGAGTTTTGATGGAGTTAGTTATTTAGGATCAGTGGGACACTTTAGGGCCTTTTACTAC